GTTCAGTGTTCTGATCATGTGTCAGACACATGTTTGACATGTTCAGTGTTCTGATCATGTGTCAGACACATGTTTGACATGTTCAGTGTTCTGATCATGTGTCAGACACATGTTTGACAGGTTCAGTGTTCTGATCATGTGTCAGACACATGTTTGACATGTTCAGTGTTCTGATCATGTGTCAGACACATGTTTGACATGTTCAGTGTTCTGATCATGTGTCAGACACATGTTTGACATGTTCAGTGTTCTGATCATGTGTCAGACATGTTTGACATGTTCAGTGTTCTGATCATGCGTCAGACACATGTTGGACGGGTTCAGTGTTCTGATCATGCGTCAGACACATGTTGGACGGGTTCAGTGTTCTGATCATGTGTCAGATATTTAAAGGAGTCAGAGCTCCTGCTGCTGAGTGGATGTGAGGTCTGAGAGGACACTGACCGATGAAGACGAAGATCTGATGATGAGAATATCTGAGCAGCATGGAGACGGACAGAGTCTGAAAACACAGAACAGAAACAAATGATTAAATGACTCAAGTAAATGTTTTGGTTTGTTCTTTATAGACGTTCTCCTGCGATGCTCTGACTGTGTGATCTCATCTTCAACATTCAGCTGCTGTAAAACATCACAACTTCTTCACTTACGAATATGACCATGATGACGAAGGCTGCCAGGTACGAGGTTCTGGCCATCCACATGCTGACGAAGCGGTAATGTTCTCCAGACACCACGTTTCTTAAGAACCCTGGAGAGAACCAAATTGTGATATCACCAACCTGCTGATGACTCAAATTTCAAATATCAACACAATGTTACTGCCTGAGCAAGTTATTTATTCACAACAGGAAGAGGAACTCAGGCTGTGAGATCAGAGTGGGGGATTAAAGGAACTAAGGCTCTGTAGGTGAAGTAGGACATAAGAGGAACAGTGGTTCTGTAACTGGACTATATATGATAAGAGGAACCCAGGTTTGATATTTGGAGTTGGAGATCAGAGGAACTCGAGCTTGGTATTTGGAGTTGGAGATCAGAGAAACTCTTGGTATTTGGAGTGGGGGATCAGAGGAACTCGGGTTTGGTATTTGGAGTTGGAGATCAGAGGAACTCGAGCTTGGTATTTGGAGTTGGAGATCAGAGGAACTCTTGGTATTTGGAGTGGGGATCAGTGGAACTCTTGGTATTTGGAGTGGGGGATCAGAGGAACTCGGGTTTGGTATTTGGAGTTGGAGATCAGAGGAACTCGAGCTTGGTATTTGGAGTTGGAGATCAGAGGAACTCTTGGTATTTGGAGTGGGGATCAGTGGAACTCTTGGTATTTGGAGTGGGGGATCAGAGGAACTCGGGTTTGGTATTTGGAGTTGGAGATCAGAGGAACTCGAGCTTGGTATTTGGAGTTGGAGATCAGAGGAACTCTTGGTATTTGGAGTGGGGATCAGTGGAACTCTTGGTATTTGGAGTGGGGGATCAGAGGAACTCGGGTTTGGTATTTGGAGTTGGAGATCAGAGGAACTCGAGNGTGATGCAGACAGGTGTTAGAGTCATGTGACTGTGATGCAGACAGGTGTTAGAGTCATGTGACTGATGCAGACAGGTGTTAGAGTCATGTGACTGTGATGCAGACAAGTGTTAGAGTCATGTGACTGTGATGCAGACAGGTGTTAGAGTCATTTGAATTGAGCGTCTCACCCAGAGTGACGACCATGACGGGGATGTTGAGTCTCTGTCTGGTGCTCTGAGACAGACGCAGGAAGCCGTACTCCAGAGAATACTCCACGATGTACTCCTCCTGAGGCCAAACTAAAACAACAACAACAACAACAACAAACAACAAACATCAACAACACAGGCAGGACTGATTACATGCTCCATTAATCACATGTTTAAGTATCTGGAGGGAAACACAGGAAGCTTAGTATGTTTGTGTGTAAGCAGCGGCTTCAGTGCTCTGTCTGTGAGACACACGATGCATTCAGGAAAGTTCAGTGAAACTGAGTTGTTCCTCAGCCTTTGTAGACAGCTGGACAGATTAACCTCTTGGGTCCTCCAGGGCCTATGCTGGTATTTTTGTTTATTGTGATGTCATTTCCTGGAGTATCTTCAAATGTGTCATATCAATAAAATCTGTCCAACCTGAGCTAAAAGATTATGAGTCATAAATCAAAGAACTGAAACTTTGTAATCAAAAATATATAAACAAAAATCAGATGTTTTTCAACAGATTTCACAAAATAAAAACACATAACATTTTTATATGTATAAACCATTTCTGAGCTCTCCATCTGTGATCTGTGTTCATCATTTAGTTTTTGAGCAGAGTGAAAAGGTGTTTGACATTCCTCTGCCGCCATATTGCGTGAGGTACATACACAACATAATGCAATGACATCATTGTGAGCGTACAACATGATGACGGGGAAGACAGAAGTCTGAACCTTCTGCTACTAAAAGAGTAAAGACTGAGAGTTCTGGTTATTATGGTTTTCATTTTACATCTATATCTAGAATATTTACAGAATTATGGAAACAATGATCTCCTGCAGCCATTAGGGCTCATTTATGCTCCCTTTACGTATGAAAATGTATACGTCTGTTTCAAACGATGTTACCGTCACTGCCCACATACTTCCATGCGCCCTTTACGTTGGCATGGTTGTTAACCAATATATCCACCAGGAGGCAGCCCAGAGTCAAAAGCTTATGACAACAACAAACTCACAAACAAACATGTCGACTGCTGTGGAGATACTGATAATGTACCTCTTTCATAAAAGACAAAAACAGAGGCAGCGCTGTAGGAGGCGGTGGTCGGTGAGGCCGTTAAATACATCGCGACTGGAGGACGGAGAATTCTTTTCTCTAGTACTGCCGATGAGAGAAACTGAATTGTTATTTCGTCTTCGTGTCTCACTAGAGCTACGTATCGGGTAGTGACAGCAACACTGCCCCCATGGTTCCCAGTGGTACTGCTCCGTTTGGCCCATATCCGTAAGCTTTATGGAAACGTGAAGAAATACGGACGAAATGAACGCAGAGCACAGACAGAAGGCTCCGTCCATATCCGGATCCGTATTTAACGCTGAGCATAAATGAGCCCTTACAGGGAAATACTGTGTTTACATCACCGTAAAGTACGGTGATGACGTGATGAGGGGGAAGAATCAGAGAAAACAAACAAACCCTGAATGAATCTGTCCTGGTGTTTCATGCTTTAATTCGCATGTATGATTATTGTTGATGTTACTATGGCAAAAGTCTTCACGGTGTTGTTTAGTGTCAATTTTCCACAGTATCTGATGAGTTTATGGTTTCAGAGATCTCATCATGTCTCATCATGTTGTTATTCTTCTCTGCTGCCACCTTCTGGTGTGGAGAACAGTCTCAGCCTGTCAGTAGAACCCTGCCCTGCGTTCCAAATCGCATACTTCTACTATATACTTTCAGTATGTACTGCAGCTCTCCTTAAAAAGTATGTAGTGTAGTATGCAGTATGCATGCAGTTTGCATACTATTGGGACACACTACATCCGCCATCACATCGCTCCCTGAACTCCGACCCTCTTGCTCACTTTTGCTGCCTTCTGTAGCGCCATATTTGAATATTTTTTGTTGTTGTACTTCGGAGATGCAGCTATTCTCCTCTCGTCGAGCTCGCCAGAGTCGTGCATACTGTCGGAGGTGCCGGAGAGCTCTGTTGCTGTTATGTCGTCATGTATGTTGTTGTTTCTAATAAACAGTCCCAAGCCTATTATTAGTGACCTGTCTATTGAACTAGTCACCAGTAGGCTTATTAACCCCCTTCACACACAGCTCTCTGTTGCTGGCAGATGTGTGTTGTTAAATATATTTACAGCTATGCAGCTGCTGGCACTATATTCTGTCTGCACATGAAGCAGCCTTACATTCACATTACTTTTATTTGTAGTGTAACATACCTGCACATTCTTACTACATTACTTAATATGT